AAGTTATTAAACTTTCTTTGCTCTTGTACAATCAAGCACTTCCCTTGACAAACTTAATTATTATATTTAATGGATCTCTGCCAAGTGAGTTGTACACATGCTGACCCCTCACTCTTTGACCAACACCTCCAAACACTAAGCCTAGCAGAGGGTAGGTGGATAGGTGGATACGTGGTAGGTTTAGATTTCCTGCAGGTCAAGGTGCAGGCTGTGAAGGAAACCTAGGTGCTTCCTTTTGATTCCTACTGATACTGCCATTGCACATTACCACATAGAACAGGTTTCTATCTTTTCAGAATCTTACTTTCTTACACTAGCTATCACCAAAGTGACCTTCCAAAAGGTTTTGAAGATACTGCAGGGAACTTTGTATCTGCAAACAGCTAACAGAGCTCAGATGTGACTTCTACTCCCCAAAGAGGAAGAGGAGACACTCTCATGAAGTGGTTGTTCTGAAAGCTAACATGCTTATGGTTACCCCAGTCATGCCTGTGCAAATTTCTCTTTTACTTCTGTTGCACGATAATATGTAACAAAATTTGTTCCAGTTGAGCAAAGCTTTTGACCTGAAATGAGCTTTAAAAAGACATTAAAAAAAAACTAGCAATATCTAAAAAAATAAATGAATATAAAATACTAAAAGTTTTTAAGTTTTCTTTTCAATATAAATATATATTCACAAGATACTTCTATCAGCTCATTCCTACTCCTAATCCTTGGGAGAACATGCCCCTAGTGCTTCATTGGATTATAATTTGTGTGCCTTGTGTAGCCCAGTCAGAAAAGCTGAAGTATATTTTCTCCGAAACACAACGGCTTCCTGTCCTCACTTTCTGGGCAATGGGACTTTCTTCTCTTAAGAGGGGGAACAAAACGGTCTTAGTCGAGGGATTCCCTACTTAAGAGTACCATGGACAGAAATGTGGGACTGCTGTTAGATTGGCCATAACTGAGAAGAAGGTTCTTGGATCTGCTATTACGTTGCCACACGAACCTCTGCCTCAATTCTTCTTTTATAAAGTACAGATGACATTTACTGTCCTTGAAGCATTTCTGCAAAGTTAGAAAAGCTTCCAGCACGCTTTGAAACACTTGGATGGAATTCATTGTAGAAGAACAGCATTTGCAGAAGCTTCTTTTCTTGTATCTGGGAAGAGATAAACACCACCTTGTGAGGTATTTGGTCCCTAGCTTCTCAAAGTTCCTATTTTATTCTAAATTAAGCTATTACTGAACTTATATTGAACTTAAATCTCTGTTTGTGGGGGGACTTTCATCGCTCGGTTTATTTTGAACAACTTCTGAAAGACCTGAGTGACTGAAGGTGCCATCCTGTCCTCACAGGGGATTTAGCCTCTGCTGCATGTAGAAGAACACTTTGCACCTTTGTTTTACACTAGGGTTTTCCATGCACAGCTTCATGGTCTACTTGTATCACTGGCTAAATACTCAGTGGAGACACGCTTAAGACTAAGCTGGCCTAGTAGTCTCAAAGGGGTAACGGTTCATCCAGCAAAGGCTGAAAGGAGATATGCACTCATCCAGCCTCTACCGATTCTAGACACATAAGGGACATTTTGTTTATAAGTTCATCACTAACTAAAAGGGGAAAACGTATCAAATCCCATCATTTATGCTATGTGGCTAGAGCAAGGATGGATTATTTTCTATTGAGAATTAAGGCAAAAAATGCCTTAGTAGTTCCTTTTTAGGCTTGACTCTTGACAACGAAAATATCAATGTTTAGGTGACTCTTCTACCACTAAAATGGCTGTTTTATATCTATGACTTGTCCTTCTCCTTACGTAATTGGTACCACTAAAGGTAATAATGTATAATCTATTCTTTGCCCTTTTACAGACTAGTCTCTGAGCACAGTGGTTATAACTTGTCCTGGCCCTAGAGATATCAGTAAGGAATGTGTTAACATTCCCATAGATTATAAAGCAGGTATTATTAGACCACTAATATTAGCATACATTGTCATAGTTTGGCACTGTTTCTGATTGCTTTCTGCTGCTGAAAGCTTGGTGAATCCAAGGGAAGAATGATGTAACATCCTTCTCCTTCCAGCACCTTGGCAATAGTTTTGAAAGAGTTGTTTTGTCGTTGTTGACCACTAACAAGCCTTTCCCTCCTGAAAAATACGGCTTACAAAAGCTTTTCCTCTCTCAGTCACAAAAGGGCTCAGTAGCAATGCTAAGGAGATAGTGCTCTGAAATACCTGTGTGCAAGAATGAAGTGAAGGGAGGCGAGGAATGGCAAAAGCCATTTGTTTTAGTTTCTGAAGCATAATCTGAAAAAAAGCACACTGAATTATCCCTGTTTTGCTACAAATCACTTTCCTATTTATTCTAGTCCTAGTTTTGCTGGTCCCATAATTTTTGATATATCCAGTTAAATATCATTCACATGAATCATGCTACTGAGCATTTACTTTTCCCTTGGCAGTTGCTAAGTGCAGTTCTTCGTTTAATAAGTCCCAACCTCGTGTATGTTTGACAGTCTCTAAGGAGTGTTCTTCCTCTGAAAGTAGTAACTGAGTTCTGTTTGTTACATTTTTATATTTTCTCAAGAATTTCTGCCACGAACCACTCAGGCCGCAATCGAGATATTAACATTTAATTCTCCAGATTTTATTGTAATTCTTTTGACTTGAATACCAAAAAATTTATTTGTGATTTTAAGTGCTGAGGCAGTACCTTAAGCTCCATAAACTGAGCACACTCAAATGAGGGAACAGGCAAGAATGGCTGCAGTAGTTTGAGTGGACGGTCATTATATGAATAACATTCAGAGCCATTGCAAGTCATTGGGGAGCCAAAATAAGATCTGATAGTCAAAGTAATTAAAGTATAATTGCTATTTATTGCTTTCACAGAATCACAGAACGGTTTAGGTTGGAAGGGACCTCTGGAGATCATCTAGTCCAACCTCCCTGCTCAAGCAGGGCCCTCTAGAGCATATTGCCCAGGATCACATCCAGACGGGTTTTGAATATCTCCAGGGAAGGAGACTCCACCACCTCTCTGGGCAACCTGTTCCAATGCTCTGTCACCCTCACAGTAAAGAAGTTTTTTCTCAGCTTTAGATGGAACTTCCTGTGGTTCAGTTTCTGCCCATTCATGTATTCTGCTTTACAGAACACATAAACATAATAATATAATCTTTTCTCAATTATCAATACTGAGCTAAGGCACCAGTTCTACCAGGAACGTGGTCCTCTGCATTTTAAACAAGATGTAATTCTAAGACCACAACTGCCTGAGGTCATTAAAGAAGCCACAACGCTGTTTTTGGTAAGAACAGAGTAGACGCAGGTGTCCTTGCAAAAATTGCCTTTGGGAAATTTTATCCTAACTTATCTTTTTATTTCATTAGATGCCTCCCAATCCCTGTTTCATGATTACAGGAAAAGAGGTCTAATAGCAAATATACAATTAATTCTGCAGTATTAACTACTTAAAGTAATTTTGTCTTTAACTGGCACAAAAAAAAAAAAAGCTGCTAAATTAACAGCCTTTCTTTAAGTGGTTACTTGATGAGAATTATTTTGAGCCTTATCTTACATCACTAAAGTAAATAGGAATTGAACTACATCTACAGATGCCAGTACCCGAAATCCCTATCAGGTTTTCACATAGGGAAAGTTCATTTTCAGTTCTTTGGAAAACTGAAAATGTGCCTGCTTTAATGCAAAGCCTGATCATGACTTACTGCTACTTGAGGATCAATCATTTTGCACTGGAATTACATGTCCCCATATTTCAAATGAATTCATTAACTGTTTTTAAAGCAATCTTTTTAAATTCCTTTGATTTTAAGGAACATAACAGCCTCTTTGTAAATTCTAAAAGTCCTCCTTCTCTGTACACTTTTAATTAAGACTTTATCATTAAAAAGCTAGCAAGAGAATTCAGCCTTCTACAGCTCCATTCATTTTAGTAATCTCCGAGCATTACTGTGAAGGATCATTAATCCTACCACTCCTCCTGGCACAGCATTTTCTCTCAGGCCAGTCTTACAAAGAAAAGGACACAACCCCCCTGAAACTTTTAAGTTAGCCATTGTTTACCTATGCCATGCTAGGAAGTAAATGAATAATGACAATGTTTTATCCTGCCATTAAAGAAAAAATCTTAAAAGTTCTAAGAAGAAGTATGCAGCCGCTCAACATTTTTTTTAAATTTTAATGGCCCAAGGACCCATTATGTAGTTTGATCTGACTCCCTGCATAACAGGAAAGATGGTTACATCAGTTTTGCAGACAGGCATTTTAAGCAATATGTCAAAGGCATCTAGCGTTTGTCTATACCCTAAAATGGAACATGGTGTAGCAATGCTTGAGTTAGAAGAGGCATGAGCTGAATCGATACAGTTCCATATCTGGACTTGCCACACTTGGTAGCAGCATGATCATATTTACAAAGTGCTGAAGCCAAACAAATAAGGCTGAATTCTCCATGTCAAGCTGCAACAACTTCATCTAGGAAAAAAAAGCTGCAGAATGAGGCCAGTCCCTATTTTCTCCTGTTAAACAATGGAAAAGTAAGAAAGGCATGTGCATTGTCATCCACTGTTGTGGGTGGGTAGAGGACCTTGGGCCATATGAATCTCCTGGCAGGCATCTAGCTCATATCTGTAGCCTTGACACCCCTGTCTAGCGACTAGAAGAGACAGAAATGGTCTGTCCAACGGCTTGAGGCATCAGCTCATTTTCTGGCAGCTACCCTCCTTTCTAGACTACTCAGGGAGCTGCAAATACTGAGAAGATAACCAGATATAGCAATATACTTTTACCAGTAGAGAGCACCCTCAGCTCAGAGCAAGAAGACACAAGTGCACAAGCCAGACCTCTCCTGCTCTGCATCTGCCTCTCCCCACTGCCATGGCTTCTTGGCCACCCCGAGCAGCACGTGGGGCACACAGGAGAGGAACCATGGCAGTGAGCACCACGTTGTCTCCCTGTAGTCCTATGCTCAAAGGGCACAGGGGAAGATATGGTCTCCAGATTTGCTACGCCACATCCTTCAGGGTCTGAAGCCAGGGAACAGCCACAGTCCGACCCCGTGGGCACCACCATCTGCCCCCTGACTCATGTCAGCATTCAGGTGAGTTGAAAAATTTGCACTAAGATGTGCTCTTCGAGACCAGATATAAGGACCTTTTTGAAGTGATAGGTTATGTGCTTCAAGTAACAGTCAAAAAACCAGCCATCTTTTGTAAACATATCAAACAAATAAATAGGAGTTAATTTCTTAGCTTTTCTCAAAACTGAAAGCTGTATTTACTTTTCAACAGACAAAAAACTTTCCCCAAACTGGCACTAAATAGTTCTTACACTACTACCACAGCGTTCCAAAAGGCAGCATTTCACAGACCTAGAAGCTATGTTTACTTTTCAACAGACAACAAAATTTCCCCAAATTGACACTAAATTGTTCTTATATGACTACTGCAGTTCCAAAAGGCACATTAATAATGCAAATACACAGCAGCTCACATTTGCTGCTCGTTAGGGGATAAGGCAGAGCTTTCGGCTTTCAGCAGAAATGAGCCATCTGAGAACCATCTACCGCTAACGGAGACCGTTCTTCATCTACAAATTCATATTCAACGTTTTTGTTAACTGCAGTTGAGATCATACCTCAGTACTATCATGCCATACAAACATCAACTCATTTCACTAAAGAAAGTTATAAATGGATAGGTTTGGGTCTAAAAAGCCTATAAACCTCCCCCGAGGACATCTATCCTGCACCCATCCCCACTGCAAAAGCCTCCCCCACGAAGCTTTGCAGTATTTTACGGACTACGTCATTAATCTGTGGCAGAGGGGAATTTAGGCTAATGCACGCAACTCCGTTATTTGTGCTTTCTGTCATGAAGGCAGCAATATATTTATTTTCGTCATCAACCCACTTATGTAACGTTTCTGGCTTTCACTGCTAATCCGTAACGGTTCCCCAGTGAACACAGATTACCTGCGAACACTCGCTAACCGGGCTTAACCGCTCGTTTACGTTTTCCTTTTACGTTAGGCAGGAAAGAGGGTAAAAGCCTCGCCAGAGAGGCCCATATGCGAGGCTACAAAAATACACTTGTAATCTCTGCAAAGTTGTAAAGTCATTTTTAAGAGCACCAGCAAAACTACTAAATCTCCGCACGACAAAAGCCTTTCCTCTAAGCACGAGGAAAACCCGCGGGATTACGCTCAAGCTTAACGCTCGGGCAACGAGAGGCCTTTAACGCCCTCGCGGCCCAGCCGGCCTCGGGCCGCGGCGTTG